TCAGCCTTCATTTGGGTTTCAGTAATTTCTCTTGGTTACACTGCCCTTGCTGAATCCCTACCAGGCCTCTCTCACCCTCCTTGCCACTGGTTTTGGGTCACTTGTTGCTTCCCTGTCCCTGGGTTGGTCAGCACCACCTCCTTAGCCCCGCCTCCCCCTCTCCTGTGTTCCCCCCACCAACCATTGGTTCCATTGTTTTCTCCTCCAGAATATTCATCCAGTCTATCTTATCTAGATACATCTGTAGAGATAATAATATGCACCACAAATCAAGCCACAAATTGAACATAATTAAAACTAGTGAGTAATCACAAAAATATGCAATTCTATATTGTGAAATATTTATTTCTAATGACAAATAAATGAAATTTTGTCTTGAAGCTTGGTGTAGCATGGGTAACAGTCTTCATGCCAGATACTCTTATGTGAGTGTATCTGCATGTGGGCAGACCTGCCTGGAGAAAGATGTAGGAGCTGTGTCTCGGTTTCTAAGACCATCGGAAATAATGTGTTTTCCAATGGTCTTAGGCGACCCTGTGAAAGGATCGTTCGACCCCCAGGGGGGTCATGACCCACAGTTGAAAACTCCTGCTCTAATTCCTAGTTTTCTTGTTTGGGGTGGGGGGTGGGGGGGACAAAAAGGATAACACCACTTTTACTTTTAGAGAGTTGTTATAAAGATGCACATGTATAAAAAGATCCTCTGTAAATGTTTGTTACTTATCATTGATATGAGTAGTATCTACATAAAATTAACATGTTCTTTACAAAGAAATTGTTTTTAGGCTTTTGAAAATATTAAAAAATATTTCTTACAAGGATGAGTCATAGGGGAAAGTAGCAAAATACAATAAAGATTAAAAAGCTAAATTGATTTGTTGTTGTTGAGTGCCATCAAGTTGGTTTCAACCCATAAGGACCCTATGCACAACAGAAGGAAACACTGCCAGCTAAATTTACTAAGCACTTACAATTGTCAGGTAATACATAAAAAAGGTATAAACACAAGCACAAATAAAACATCATAAAACAAAGTGTTTTTATACCAAATTTGGCTTCCATTTAAAAAACATTTTTATTATAAAACAAATCTGGCAAAATGAAATTGAACATTAATTTCTCCTAAGAAAAACTATAAAAATCTACTGGTTTAATTTTTTATTTACACATGACTATGTGTAAAATTGGCTAAAATTAGTGACTAACTCATGCCTTCGGTCTGATACATAATTTCTGATTGACCTTTATTTATTTATATTGTGCCAATAAAAGGTGCTTTTCTCTGATACTCCCCTTGCAGACAAGATGGGTGCATAATCAAAGGTGGTGAAAAAAGCGATGGTGTCAGGCTATCAAAAGATAATAATGTCTGGGGTCTAAAAGGCTTGAAATTAAACAAG